GCCAAGACTGTCCACGACGCAAAACATTGCCGAAAAAGCCAGCAGGCTTTCTTCAGCTGATCTGAACACCTCGCCGATCGTTCCAACCAATCGGTTTGTACTTACTGGGGCCGTTTTTGACGTCAATTTTGGGGGGAAAATGGATTGTGGTAGCTACGAATTACCTCACCCGCTACGCAGAAACAAAGATTCTACCCGAAGGTAGTGCCGAAGAAATTCGTTGAAAATATCGTATTTCGTTACAGCACCTCAGAGGTTATCATCCCCAATATGGGTACGGCCTTTACTGCTTATTCCACTTACGCGATGTTGAGACAAAGCCATGACAAGTCGCCGCCACACCACCGCCTACCTCCCACAGACAAATGGTCTCCCTGGGCGGCTAAACTGAACAATGGCCGACATGCTTGACATGTACGTCGACGTCCAACGCAATACGTGGGACGCCATCCTTCTATACGAGGCCTTCGCATACAAGACGGCCGTGCAGGAGACTACGTAGGTGTCGCCGTAGAAGTCGGTCTACGGAAGGAATCCAGCAACGACGCTCGACGCAATGCAGCCCAACGTCACTGACGAATAAAACCTCGACGTCACCCCTATTTTCTGCACGCTGAAGAAGCTCCTCGAATCGCCCGCCTGCGCATCACGAATGAGCAGACTACCGACTGCCACAGTTACAATCTTCAGCGATGCTTCGTGGAATACCAGCCCGCTGAACGTGTTTGTGTGTGGACGCCGATACGCCGACGTGGACAGTGAAAAACTTCTGAGACGGTCCTTCGGACCATACAGGGTAGTACGACGTGTCGGTCCACTCGACAACGAGGTTGTCCCCGATGGTATTATGATCTCTCAACGGCACTAATGGTAACCTGCAGAAGTGCGTGTCGTGAGCCTTAAGCCGTTTCATGCATGTTAACGAACTGAAAGAGTGTATTTTGTTGGTATTGTTATTATTGCTGTACCGTACTTTTTTATTTGTACCTCTTTACATTGGTGTACTTCATCTTCATATCAGCATCGGGACGATGCCTTTTTTGGAGGGGGAAGCAATGCAACGTTTTTTGGTCAAGTTTTCCTATCACCCCATTACACTGTACACAATTCTCTGCTTAAACCATGGCTGCACCAATCGAGAAGCTTCGGGACAGCACTATATTATTTTGTTAAGATTATGCCCACTTTGTGAGCAATACAGATTATTTTGTAACCACGTCACCACTAGCGATAACACTGGACTGTTCGATGGCAAGTGTATAAATGCTCACACGCTTTGCCGCTTGTCAGTTTATCGACGGCCGACGCTCCGTTCGCT